TCCCAAACCACTGGTACAAAGAAGCACAAACAACAGCAGAAGACCATCAACCAGCCCCACTCCACACCACAGTCCAGTTTACTGTCTATACCGTAATGGGCTATTTGTGGGACATTGCTGTTTGCAATTGTTCTGCTGTGTTTGTCTACAAACGCACAGTCACTCAACTTCACAGTAAATCCTGTGAAGCGCTTTGGGACATCTTCAAGATGTGAATCGCTGTGTAGCAAGTGTATAATGGACTTCACGGTTACTACATTGTTGTGTAATGAGTATAACTGCATAGCTTCACAGTTAATACACAGTTGTGTAATGATTGTGTAACAAGCTCCACGGTTACTCTACTGCTGTGTAATGATGACTGCAGTTGCTCCACTGCTTTGTAACAGGTTCCACAGTCACTACTCTGCTGTGCGATAGTGCACTAGGTGCTGACCTCGATACATTGTTCGTGGGAATCTTTACAGAACTCTCCTCAGATACCATTTCGTTCCGGGTGAGTGACGCGAAAATCAGCCTTTACAGATCCTTTGGAAATCCAGTTCCCATCTCTTTGCAACCACATCATCATAGAGCCCTAAGCACACTCTCCCACCAGATTAATGGCTCCGATACATGCAAGTAACTGCGAGAATATATTCAGTTGCAAAACAATCTTTCAACTTTATTTACATTGCTGAGTTTTTTTGCATTTATTTCCCTAACGAGCAGAACTTCTGTTGCATTTTGCATGATTTAAAGAAATGCGGGTAATTTATATTTCGTACCTCCGAAGAGTAATGTGCTGGAGTTAGCAACATGTCAGTAACAGGCCGTGTGAAATGCCAAGCGCATTAATGGGGAAAAAATTTGTGCGCAATTGTTGGAACAATTTCTTCGGAATCTATTCGCCTTTCTTCTCTGCACGGATGTCGTTTGCTTTCCCTTCACAAGCAGAAAACTCCGCAGTCATTTGTTTCCGTTCCACCTTCCTTTCTGCGCCCATGTGTCCCTGTCCTGTGCTAATTTCATGGGGCGCTGTCGATGTCTTCACGCTTTACACTAACCTACAATTCGCCTGACACACGAACAGATCAAATACATCATCTCTCTCCTCCCATGAGAATCATTCATACAACAACACAACACAAGTGGAGATGGTTATCTTCCCTTTCCATCTCTGCGCCATTTGTCTCTCGCCTCTACCCTCCTTTCCATTCGTCTCTCCTTCTTTCATGTTCATTCCTCCCTCTCTCCCTCCATCTTTCTTCTCCATTCAGGTCAGCCTGGCTCTTGCCTCTGAGTCAGAAGGCTTTGGATACTTGATATTCACGTAGTCTAAGCTGACACATAAAAAGAAGCCCATCTGCCTGTCCAGTTGGACATTAAAATTCCTGAAGCACTGTTTCCTCCTTGTGTTCTGGCCAACAATCCTGCAAACAAATTTGATCACTCACTCCATGGCTGTTTGTTGGACAATGCAGTGCAAAAATTGGCCGCTGCATTTTTCCCACAAAACGACGACTACACTTTACCATATATATTCCAGTGAAGTGCTTTGCGAGGTCTGGACGACGTGATAGGGCACAATACCATATGCAATAATTATTATTATCATTATTATCCTTTCCCCTTTTATTCCTTCCTCCCTTTCTCTTCCTCCATCTCTCTATCCATCTCGTTGTCAAAGTTTGCTGTGATTGATCCGCTGTATACTTGATGTCAATTAAATGTCTCCAGAAAAGCACCCGGTCCACCATTGCCTTTGTTAATTGGGTTCTCACGGCGTTCCCAGATTGTGGAATCTCATTGGGATTTTACAGTTTTCCTTGTTGAACTCTCCAGCTGACGGATCACAGTCGATGTCACTGTAAGACTAATCCTTGCATTTGATACAGCGCCTTACACATTGTAGAGATGTCTCAAAGTGCTTCACGGAATATACTCTGTGGATTGACTCTGTATTTTGTGGGCGGACACAGTTTTGCTGTTGACAATCTGTGTGACAGTCGAGCAGCAGAGACAAGCAGACAGACTGCGGGGGGGGGGGGGGGGCTTTCACGTGCACAGCCAGATGGACGTGAGACCTCTTAGAAGTCAATAAAAGTGAAGGCTGGTTTTGCACCAGAGCCCATTAATTGTCAGTCAGCCTCTGTCATTACAGAGAAGTAAAGGCATCTCAGTCTGCTCCATGTAGAATGGTCTGCGCAACTGATGAATTTGCCAGTTTCCGCATCCCCGGACACTATCAAGCGATCAATGCTATTTTCATCCTTAACAACTAACACATCTTTATTATCTGAAACATTAGGGATGGGACTTGCAAAGGAGCAGGTTTATTCCAATAATGTTTTGAGAAATCAGCTCACATCTAGGTATCGATCCCACGCTTCCCACCTAACCACGGACAATGGCAATTATTTATTTAGGTTAAGGGTCATTTTGGGTCCTGTTGTAATTTCAGTGTTATTCTCCCAAAAGATATCCATTCCCCACAGAGATCCATACCCTACTTTCTGCTCACCTTGTCCCGCCTTTGGACTCCTCCCGTCTCCTTGAGTTAAGAAATTGTTGCCGTATGTCGTTGTGTTTCAGAATACATTCTTCCACATGTCATTTGGATGTCAGCTCAGTGCGAGCTATTTGAGTGAGGCTCATAATGCAAACAGGGATTTTGTTTTTCAGACTCTGTCCTTTGGAAGGTGAAAATATCAGCAAAGCGCTCGCAACGCAGAATGTTTCCCAATTATACTGTTAATAATAACCCTTGTCACTTTGGGAGGACATCTCAAAGCGCTTCACAGGCTTTACTCTAAAGTGTACAGAATACTGTGCGATTTACAGGCGATTGTCGCTTATATTTTGCACACAGCCATGTTCCACAAACACCCATGAATGGAATGAACAATTTTGTTCGCCAGGACACTGGGAGAAACTCCATTCTCATTTTGAAGAGTGCTACAGGATCTTTAACAACCACTGCGCAGGCAGACGGGACCTCGGATTGTCTTATCTGAAGCACAAGTTTAAATGAAAATTCTATTGTATTTGCTTGGCATCCAACCTCACCACGGTGCTGTGCTCCGAGACGCTATCCTGTGTTAAGGGCACTGTATTAATGTGTATTGCTTTGTGTACTCAGCCTCTGAACTTTAATGAGCCATTCAAATTTGAGGAGTATTGAATTTGACAGAAATAATTGTCCTCTTAACCTGAGCCTCTTTCAATTTGTGAGTTGTTTGCCCTTTGACACTTGTTTGATTCCAATACTATAAACAAAGTGGTCTCGTACCCACATTTGCATTCTGAACAGAGCCAAATGCTCACTCCCTTTGTTCTCTTTGTTTGGTCTATTTTGTAATAATAATAATTACATTCAGTATTGTTAAGAGGACAACTCAAAGCTCACTCCATTGCAATCCTGTGGATTTGCATTGCTGTTCTTTGGATGAGACGTTAAACCAAGGTCCTGTTCAGGTGCACATTAAATATCCTATGGCACTATTCATAAAGAGAATGGAGTTTCTCTCTCGATGTTTCTCTCTCTCCTGACCTGAAACTTGGATATTGCACTAAGTGATACAATAACAGCCTCAGTCTCGAAGGGCTTCATCCCTTCACCTCGCTTCCTCCCTTGCCTCCTTCGAGGCCAGTCTCAAGACCCTTCTCTTCGATCGCGTCTTTGGTCTCCCTCCTACCTCTCTGCCTTCCCTCACCCCTACACCACCCCTTCCCCATGCTCGGATCCCGACATCTGACTGTTCAGCGCTTTGGGACATCCTCCCGACTTGAAAGGCGCTCTATAAATGTAATGTTGTTGCTGTTGTTGTTGTTGATGTTCTGGCCAACAATCCTACAAATACAATCAGTCACTCACTCCTTGCCTGTTTGTGGGACATCACTGTGCGCAAATTGGTTGCTGCATTCGCCTACAAAATACCGTTGCTAAACTTTACAGTAAAATCCTGTGAAGTGTTTTGATGTGAAAACCTCTGTATTAAATGTGAGGATTATTTGCCATTGTAAATTCACCTTTTTATTGTTACTTTACAGGGATATTATTTCCCATCGAGTGACTTCTTAATCTAAGACATCACAACTAGTCGGGCTTTGAGGAGGATCAGATATTTTATAGTCAGTTGGGGGAGGAAGGACTTATGCCACAGTTTTACATTTCTCCTAAAAAAATTACATTGTACAAATTGGCTCCCGTCGGTTCTGAATCCATTTTAATCACTAATGAGGAAGCAATTTCTCCGAAAGTCCCATCCAAGGGTCATTAAGTGTTATTTCACCATCCAAAATGACATGGGGGTGAGAGAGGCTAAAGTGCACTTGCTTTACAGCACGGTATAACTCTCCCCTATGCATACCTCAGGGCCGCTAGAGCTCATTCCATCGTCTCACCTTCTCCTGACCTGAAACTCAGATATTGCATTAAGTGATACAGTAACAGCCTCAGTCTCGAAGGGCTTCAGTACAGTCAATTGAGTTTAATTGCAGCAGCTTTTTACCAATTAAGTTCCTGCCTGTCTCTCTTATTGCTGCAGACTCTGTTTGGATTGAAGTGGAGGATAAAATGTGCTTTTTATTGATAAACAAATCAGAAAATTTATGGATCACTGGTTAGGCCAGTGAGGGAGGGATTGAGGGAGCGAGAGAAGGAATGAGTGAGGCAGTGAATGAGGGAGGGAGCAAAAGAGGGAACAATAATAATCCTTGCATTTGATATAGTGCCTTATCACATTTTCGAGACATCTCGAAGCGCTTCACAGAATGAGCTGTAAACATACTGAATTGACTGTATATTTTGTGGGCGAAAGACGGCAGCCAATTGCGCACGGCAGTGTCCCACAAACGATCAGAGAGTAACTTTTGAGATATACTTTGAAAGAGGCGAGGGAGTCGGAGGGACCTGGGAATGGAGTCCCAGGGCATGGGCACCAAGCGGCTGCAAGCCTCTGCCCACGTTGGGGTGGATAGAGCGATTTTAACCATCGTTCATCTTTTCTCTTTCCTAGCTGGCTCTGCCTTCCTGAATCCAGAGGGCGATTCCGGGACCGAAGCGGACAATGAGCCCCAGCTGACCTTTTACACTGACCCATCCCGCAGCAGACGCCGGAGCAGAGGTAGGCGTGGGCTGATCTGCAGTGGAGCCTTTCACTGCGAAGTCGCTTTGCAACCCCTCTTAGGCCATTTCCCGTTAGTTCAGCAAGCTTGTTAAGAACATAAGAATATGCTGGCAAAAGAAGACCAAAATCCATCCAGTTGGCCTTCCACCATCCTGGCAGTCGTAGGCACATGTCATGTCCCAAACTATATACTGTATCCCGAGATATTATTTCCTAACAGAAATCTATCTAATTTGTTCTTGAATGAATCGACATTTTCTGCTTGCACCGTCTCCCCGGGGGGGTAGCCTGTTCCATACGTTTACTACTCGCTCACTGAAATAGTGTTTCCGCAGACTTGTTTTGAATTTACCCCCCCGTTCAATCGTAGGGCATGTCCTCTGGTTCTGCTGTTCAGTGCAAGATAAAACAGCTTACCATGGTCTCCATGTACATTCCCAGTTTATCTAACCATTACTCATTGTCCAGAGTTCCAGAGAGCAGGGTAGAATGTCTGATGAGTAGGGAACATGTAGCAGCTTGTGTTTGCTGAGCGGAGGAAGCGACAGAGCGGTAAGTTTGCAGGACACAGAGCTAAGGTGGGGACGAAGATCTTGAATTGGAGCCAGTGGACGTGGGCAATGGGCTCGCGGAGCACGGTGCAGGAGAGGGCAAAGGCTGCACAGTTCTGGTTTGGAAAATACGCAATAATTAATAATACTAATAATAATCCTTGCATTTGATGCATCGCCTTATCACGTCTTCAAGATGTTTCAAAGTGCTTCACTGGATACACGGTGAATTGAATGGCCTGTATATTTTGTAGGCAAAACGCGGCAGCCAATTGAACAAATCAGTGTTCCAAACACAGTTGTGGATTGAGTACTATGATTATTCTATGATTATTATTATCATAATTATTATTATTAATGATAATTCCAAAACCAATTGTCTCATAAACAAATGTCTGAGTGAGACTGCGGTGTGATCGCTCTCAGTATTCATGCATTCATTCTCCAAATAAAGCTGATTCCCCTCGATTAGACTTAAGTTTCTAATCACTCTGAAGTGTCTCTCATGCTAAATATAAACCAGCTGAATGCCTGGATTAGATTCCAGCCTGTAACTCACTTGCGAGTTCCCATCTGCTTCTTAAAGGCTTGAAGGTGCAGCACAGCAGTCAGTGCTTGTGGTCAGGGAAGGTGCCAGTTATAGAGGGTTTCCACTCGTCACAGGATTACAAGATTGGCTTGAATTAAAAAGACTCTTCGGCCCATCTGATATCATGGGAGTCCTGAAGCTCAGTGGTCAGAGCACTCGCCTTGCAAGCGAGAAACCTGGGTTCTATTCCCAGACAGGGCGAATTGTTGGGCAAGTTTCCTTACACCAAACATCTCTGTTTACCTAGCAGTAAGTTGGAACCCGATTGTTGGTCAATTGGCAGATCGCTATTCCGGGGATAATAATCCCTCAAGAAAAAATAATAATAATTTGGTCACTCAATCTACAACTGCTTGTGGGACACTGCTGTGTGCAATTGGTGGTTGAACGCGGCAGCCAATTTGCGCACAGCAATTCCCCACAAACAGCCAACATTAGTTTTATCCAGGAGAGTTGTTCATCAGGACACCAGGCGAATCTCCCTTCCCTTTTCGAATAGTACCATGAGATCTTTAATGTCCAGCTGAACAGGTGGATGGAGCCTCCGACAATGCAAAACACCCCTAGCACTGCATTGGGGTGTTATGTGGAGTCCTGTAGTCCTGGTTAGAGCACTCACCTTGCAAGCGAGAGCATTTTTTTCCTTAGCCTTCATGACTGGTGGGAGAGCTCTGAGCTGCTCAATGGTGGCAAAGCTTTTGATGCAGAGAACTATGATCAGCCTCCAGTATAGAGACTACGCCCCTTGCGCTCCCCATCCATTAGATCTTCACACAGTCACTAGTCAAACTCCTAAAGTAATTAGTGTCTAGATTACATGGTCTTTAAAAAGAACACATAATCCTACTGTGTTTGGTCCAGACCATTTTTTATAGGTAGTCAGTCATTTTGTTGCCATGGCAAGAGTCACGTGGAGTGAACCCAAGGCGATTGGAGTTGTTTAAATGCCTTGTTTGGTTATTAGATATTTGAAAGACCAATTATTGAATCAACATGAGCCCTAGTCTAATGGGGAGGATTAAGGGATTAGACATTAAGGCTGTGTCAATTTAAAACGCTATAAAAAGAAGGTTGTGGAAAGTTGCATTGAACAGTGTTGGCTACTTGAAGAGTTATTCTAGTGGCTAGAATTGGCATTAGAATGTAACTCAATTCCAGTCTCATTGTTATAATAATAGTTTCATACCACTCCTTTCACACCAAGATTAGTGTCTGACACATGTGGAAACCCATGATCATACTTAAGAATACCCAAACCAAACTGAGAATTCCATGCATCTCATCTACATGTGGGAATTCCAGCGATAGATTGGTGGAATGGAATGCACATTCTCTCCCTGGAGGGATGCACACTTGTTACCTAATTCCGGAAAGTATTAGGTGTTGGTTGGCAAAAGCCAAGGCTTGGGGACCCCTGAGTGTGTGTTGGGGTACTGCTGGATTCTAACCAGTTAGAACTGCATAGCTTGCCATTGATATCGCTGTTTTGCAATCTTTCCCGCTGCTTATTCAGCTGGGACCACCCTCCCTGTTAGGGTTTCGGCTTGTAAGGTTAACAGGAGCTGAGTGGGGATGAGCCCCCAGTGACTGGTCTGCCCTTCCAGGTCCTGCCAAAGAGCTGTGCCTTATCCTATCATTGAGATATCTCAACAACAACAACAACAACAAAATTACTCAAGGAGGTTCATGGGATTTACAGTCAAATGTAGTGACTGTCCATGTTTTCTGGGCAAATATCTGAAAAGGTGAAATATAAAAGGGAAGGCAGGAGAAAGGGACTGAATGGATCACTCTCTCAGAGAGCCAACGTGGGTGAAATGAGCCGAATGGCGCCTCCTCCTATGCTGTAAACATCTCCAAATTAGGGATCAGAAACCAAAACGCCGTGTGAGAAACCTAGATAACATAACATAACATAACATAACATAACATGTAGGAGTAGGCCATTCGGCCCTTCGAGCCTGCCCCGCCATTCAATCATGGCTGATCTTCTAATCTAACTCCAGCTAATAACCTAACCCTGCCTTATCCCCATATCCCTTAATCCTTTTTGCAAGAAGAAATCTATCTCAGTCTTGAATATGTTCAAGGACTGAGCGTCAATAGCCCTTTGAGGTAGCGAGTTCCATATATTCACCACCCTTTGAGTGAAGAAGTTCTTCCTCAACTCAATGCGAAAGGGCTGGCCGCTGATTTTATTAGAGGGCTGGCCTCTGATTCAAGATGATGACTCGGGCCCAGGCTTTAAATGATGACTCAGGCCCAGGTTGTGAGAGGGGAGAGTGTGTCTGATCAATAGTGAGCTTGAAAATTCCATTATTTTAGCAGTTTAAATGAAAGCAAAAAATAAAACCATACTCATTTATCAGTATACAGAGAGAGATCAAATAATTGTCAAGATGAATGCTGTGAGATCCTGAGAGGAGGTTTGAATTTAAAAAGAATGTGCTCCCGTCGTTAATTACCCTCTGGGTAAAGAAAACCTTCCTGCTGTCTTTCTGGAACTTGCCCTTTGCAATTCTAAACCTACGTCCTTATGTTCTACTGTCTTCATGACAATACACAGCTCGTTCAGAAATGGTGTCTCCTTGGGGCTGAACTGTCTCCAACATGACATGCTTCACAACAGAATGTGACTACATTTTTGCAGACAGCCTATTTGCACACAGCAAGGTCCTAAAAACAGCCATGAAGAGAATGGTCAATTTTATCTAGGGGGATTGTTGGCCAGGACTTTGGGAGAAATTCCATTTCTCTTTTTGGATAGTGTCTCATGACCCTCCTCTTCAATCACACCTTAGATCACTCTCATACTTCCACCCTCCCTTCCCTCCACCGCTCCTTATCTCAATGCTAGCTCAGGTCCAATTCCCTGACTGTCCAGCGCCTGGGGACAACCACCCTACATGAAAGGCGCTATGCAAATGTAATTTGTTGTTGTTTTTGTTGTTGTGCCATGGGATCTTTAATGTCTGGTCCAAAGGACGGTACCTTTGCAACACACCTCCAGCACTACATTGGAGCATCAGCCTTGACCCTCGACTAAGTGAGCCCCAAAGTGGAGCATGAACCCACAACCACCTACCTCAGAGGCGAGAGTGCTACCACCTGAGGCCGGCTGGCACATAACGATTACATGGTTTGGCTATGTCTTTGCTCTTTATTTTGTTTGAGCACAAAACACACAATCACTCCACTTTAGAGCATACATCTGTCAGCCTGGCTCAGTGGTAGTACTCACGCCTCTGAGTCAGAAAATTGTGGGTTCAAGCGCCACGTCAGGACTTGGAATCACATAGACTAACATAACATTCCAATGTAGTGTGTTGCATTATCGGAGATGCATCCCTCAGATGAGACGTACCCAAGTCCCGCCTGCCTGTTCAAGTGAATGGTGAAGATCCATTGCCGCTATTCGAAAAGAGAATGGAATTTGTTCCGGTGTGTCTGTCAACAATCCCCCAAATAAAATTGGTCTCTCACTCCATGGCTATTTGTGGGACAGTAGCCAACGAGTCATGTTTTACCCACAAAATACACATTCAATCCACTTTACAGCATATCCTGTGAAGCGCTTTGAGACGTATTGATGAAAAAATAAGGCACTATATAAAATGCAAGGATAATTATTTTTATCCTCTGAAGCAGTTTGAGTCATCCTCCCAATGCGAAAGGCACTCTCCCAAATGCAAGGATTATTATTAGGATTCTTTTCTGAAATGCCAAAGTAATGGATCAGACCCCTTCTCCCCTCTCACAACATTGGCTCAGGGCAACATTGGCATCAGTCGAGTCACTGCATCACTGAAACATTCCAAATCCTGGGGAAAAAAAACCTTCGGGATAAATAATTTGCAGCAGTAAATCCCAAGAATGCAATTTATCCCCCTGCCTCCCAACGCCGGAATTCCAATGACCTTCCAGAACTTTTATTCCATTCTACTCAGAAATTAGTTTCTGCGAGGCTGTTTCAAGCCCAGATGATAAAAGGTGGCACATTTACTGCATTCCAGCAGCCATAAAACCTGATCCACACTCTGCATCCAACATTACAGAGCTGGTCAATATGACAGCAGTAAATTAGTGGGGTGGGAGGAAATAGGCTTTAAAGTAGCTTTATGACAAAATCAATAATTTTAAGGGGAAGGCAGACNAAAAAAAAGTGAAATTTAAGGGCTTTGCGCTGATAATGTGTTTTACTTTTTAATGTTAAGGGTGGCACTCACACTGAAGCTCCTGTCATCTTCTCAAATTAGCACAACTTTATTGTGCAGCGCCGGGAATCCTCCAGCATGATAATGAAGGATCCGGCAGCTGACATGTAGCCTACGATTGCCAAAGTGTGTTGATTGCTGGAGAGTCAGGTGCCACTTTCCACAAATTGGTTGCCAGTAGGCCTACAAAAGATCCAGTCGCTACGCTCTACTTTAAAATCGTGTAAAGCACATCGAGGCATTTTGATGATGCGAAGAGGCATGCATCTATGCGCCTCTGTTCAGGTGGTCTTTAAAGGATCCTATCCTATGACGCTATTTCTTCTCCCTTTGCCCTTGGTCAACAATCCCCTGAATAAAATTGCTCATTCACTTCATTGCTGTGCACTGCTGTAACAAAGATACAATCACTACACTTTGCAGTGTATCCTATGAAGCAATTTGAGACGTCCACCTGATGTGAAAGGTTCTGTATTAAATGCAAGGATGATGTTTATTATTATAATTATTATTATTAATGTGTTGGTTGATGCCGTTCTATTGGAATTCCATCTCTAATCTTAGTAGGATGGATAGCAGAGTATCTGGTGATGTTCACGTGTGAATGCGTTCTAAAGGACATTTTCAAGTGCCTCATCCAATAATGTTAATGGACAAAGGCACAGCCAGATGCAGTATTAACAATAATAATCATAATAATGACAATAATAGTAATGACAATAATAATAATGATAATAATAATAATCCTGCATTAAATATAGCACCCTTCCTTGCATTTGGAAGCATGCCCATTGCACCAATTGCCTGTCAGTCCCTAATGCTTGGCATCTCTCTAGATCTGTGCCCGCTCCTAATTATAATAATAATCATAATAATATCCTATTTCAAATGCTGCTGATAATCTCATTCATGTTTCGTTAGCTCCCGCTTTGATTTTTCCAATGCATTCCTCGCTGGTGTCCCCAACTCCATTATTAACATGGTTCAAATGATTACAAACTCTGCTACGTGTGTCTTCACCCGTACCAGGTTTCACACCCCCATCACCCCACTTCTTGACAGGCTCCATTGGCTCCCTGTTGCAGAACGGATTGATTTCAGGCTCCTTACTCTCACTTTCAAATCTTTTCATGCCCTGACACCTCCCTACCTCTCCAATCTGTTCACACTCTAATTTTCTATCCACCACCTTCGCTCCGCTGGCACAGGTCAGTTGCATTTTCCTCATACGCTGAACAATTGGGGGCCGGGCTTTCAGGCACTATGCCCGAATCCCTGAAACTCCTTGCCTCAATCCCTCTGTCTTGCCCTCCATTTGGCCATCTTTAAATTCCACCTGAAGACTTTCCTCTTTGACTGTGCCTTCAGTCACCTCCCCTCTCTTTCCAGCTCGGGGTCAAGCCAGGATGTGATTAAGTGCTCCAAGATGCTACCTGCGTGAAGGGTGCCATATAAGTGCAAATTGCTGTTATTGAGCTTTCTGCTCCCACCCTCTGGAACCGGAACCCAGAATCCCTTTGCATCGCCCTCTCCCTTGCTTCCTTCAAGGCCCATCTCAAGATCTTCCTCCTTGACCACGCCTTCGGTCATCCTCCCACCCTCTCCCCCCTTGCCCTCCACCCCTCTTGACTCTGACCCCCAGCTCGGGTGCAAACAATTGACTGTCCAGCTCCTTGGGATATTTTCCTGATGTGAAAAGCACCATATAAATGCAATTTGTTGTTGAACATGGCAGCCAATATTTGTACAGCACTGACCCACAAAGGACACCAGGAAAAATAGTGCCATGAGATTTTAGCATCCACCTGAACAGGTAGGCACAGAGCACATACTGTATCATGTTATAGAAACTCCAAACGTTTCACATCAAAGTACCTCACAGGTTTCACTGTGAAGTGTAGTGAGTAGTAACTGTATATTATGTAGATGAACATGGCAGCCAATTTGCACATGGCTCTATTCAGAAAGAGAAGGGAGTTCCTCCTTCCATTCTCCTGGCCAACAATCCCCCAATTAAAATGAGCCATTTAAATCATGGCTGTTTGTGGGATGTTGCTGCATTGTACATCCAGAAATACAGTCAATGTACTTTACAGTATATTCTGTGACGCTCTTTGAGTCATCTCAATGACATGATAAGGAGCTTAATTATTATTACAGAGCAAAGGACAGCAGCTCTAGCATGGAGAAAGTTGCTGCTGAAGGTCTGTTTTCCTGAGAACTGAATATATTTTATGATTTGTGCTGAGTTTTTATATTTATTTATACGATGAGCGAAACCTACTGTTTTATTTTACATAGTTTAAGGAAATGTTATTTATATCTCAATATTTAATATTAATGTGGCAAAGTTAGCTCCTCAAAAGTTTTAAAGAATGGAAAGTGGAAAAAAACATTGATTTTCTGGTGAGTTGGAACCTGTGTCTCTCTGGCTGACAATCCATCAGATAGAATTGATCACTCACTCAATGGCTGTTTGTGGAGACATTGCTGGGCGCAAATTGGTCTTAGCTGGTTAGACTCCAGCATTTACCCCAATGCACACTCTGGGGTCCCCAAGTCTTGACTCTCGTCAACCTTAGCTCACCAGAATCAGGCACGCAGGCTGTGTCCCTCCGGGAAGAGGGGGCGTATTCCATTTCAGAGGCAGAGAAATGTCCAAGTGTCGGTGATAGTCTAGTCCGCAAAGGTGATGGGTTGGGTTTCTGTATGTGTCAGACCCCCAACTGACCAGAAGAACCACAGTAACCAGTATGTGTCGTGGGAGAGAGGAAGGTGCTGACTGCCCATTTCCCATAACAAATGACGTGACGCCTTCATTCTGAAATGCTGGAGCAGGTTGTCAGAAATGTTGATGAAGTTGCTAGCAACAAGTTCATTTTCTCCTTTGCCTCTGGTGAACAGGTTCTCCTCGAAGCCCCATCAATAAAACCACCCTGACCCTGATAAGCGTGATCGGCTGTGTAATTGGACTGGTCTACGGCTCCCACCTGACCTGCCCCTTGACTGTGAAAGTTGTTCTGCACGTTCCGGAGAACCTGGTGGCAGACGGTGAGTACAGCAGGTACAGGGTGTGCCCACGTGTGTGTTGTTTGTGTGCATGTATGTCTGTGTGTGGATGCATGCATGCTGTTTTTGTGTGTGTGTGTGTGTGATTGGGTGTTGTTTTTGTGTATGTGCATATGTATGCATAAATATGTGCGTGTGTTTGTGTACCCGTGTGTTTATCTTATGTGTGCCTGTGTATGTATCTGTGTGTGCAGTTGTTTCTGTGGGTGGGTGTGTGGGCTGGTGAGTGTGGCTCCGTGTCTGTAGTAGTGTGTGTGTGTGTATCTGTGTATGGCCAGGCACCACTAGCTCCCCATCACTGAACAGATCGACTTCAAGATCCTCACGCTCGTGTTCAAATCCATTCACTCCACGGCACCTCCTTACCTCTCTGACCTCCTTACACTCCAATCCACCACCTCCACCTCCAATCCACCACGCTGCTTGTCCCTCACACTCTCCGCTCTACCATCGGAGGTTGCGCTTTCAGCCACTATGTCCCCAAACCATAGAACACTCTCCCTCAGTCCCTCTGCCTTGCCCGCTCTCTCCCCTTTTGGAAGTACCGCTTGAAAATCTTCCTTTTCAACCGTGCTTACAGTCACCTCCCCCCACCAGCTCAGAGGCAGGCTCCGTCACTGTTAAGCGCTCTGAGATGCTACCCTGCGTGGAGGGCGCTATATAAGTACAATTTGTTGTATGTGTGTGTTAGTCTGTGTGCCCATGTGAGCGTCTCTGTGTTTGTCAGTGTGAGCATATGTGTGCCTCTGTGTGAGTGTGTCTGTGTGTGTGTGTCTATGAGTACGTGTATGTTTATCTGTGTGTGTGTGTCTCTGTTTCTGTGCGTGTGTCTGACTGTGTGTATCTGTCTGTGTGGATGCCTATGAGACCGAGAATATTTCCATTAGAGGCACACAGTAAATTGAAGCCATCACCTCTTGTTTTATGTACATTTATGCCTTGCGAAGCTCTTCAATTCTCCATAAGACGATAGCTTAATGAAAGCAAAATGAGTTACAAACAGTTATTTATTTGCTAAATGGAAAAGCAGCTTCTTAGTGCCTGCTTTGCCTTGGGCATGAGAACACCACAGTAATTAAAAGAGAAAAAATAATCTGTTACATTCAGTGCCAGAACTGGAGCTGTAGACTACCCCGGGTATCCATTATATGATATAAAGCTGTTCCAAGTGACCAGCAATGGCACAAGCCTGCATTTAAGAAACACCTCACAACCATTCAACCCAGTGAGGAATTCAATGTCACGCTTGCAAACAGATGACAAAGGTATATCTGGAGGACTCACTGCAGAAAGGAGAGACTCTCTTCTGCCGAGGGAACTGGTGGTAAAGGAGAACAGCACGGTCTCGGGTTAATTACAAGAGAAGTGAGCCAGATATAGAGCTGAGGGCAGGGTAAGTAATAATTCTAGCATTTAATACAGCGCTGTATCAAGTCTTCGAGTTGTCTCAAAGAGTTCTCAGGATTTTAGTGTAAAGCATAGTGGCTGTGTATGTTGTAGGTGATCACAGCAGCCAATTTGCACACAGCAATGACCCACAAACAGCCATGAAGTAAATAGTTAATTTTATTTGAGAGATTGCTGACCACAACACTGGGAGAAGCTCCTTACTCTTTTCGAAAAGTGCTGTGGGATCTTTCATGATGGAACTTTGGTTCAATGTCTCATCTGAAGGCTGTCCCCTCTGATAATGCCATGCTCCCCAGCCTGTGTCAGACTGTGTGAGCTCAAAATCTTGATGTGGGGCTTGAACCCACAACCTTCTGACTCAGTTGGTGAGAGCGCTACCAACTGAGCCAGCTTACATTTACAACATGCACAATCACTACACTTTACAGTAAAATCCTGTGAAGTGCTTTGAAACATCCTCCTGATGTGAAAGGTGCTGTACCAAATGCAAGGATTGTTAAAAGAGGGTAATGAGCTCGGAGATTAAGTAGATCTTAGGGCAGGAGGAAGTGGGATGCATATGAGGCTAGATGAAGAGTAATTATAAAGGTAAGAAGAATTTCTATACCCTGCTCTTTGGAACTCCATGCCAGAATCTCTCCAATTGGCTCACTACCTCTCCTCATTCAAGGCACATCTCAAAACGTAACTCTTTGACCATGGTCATTTTGCTCCCACTCTCTAAGTCAGGCACTTTAAGACATCCTCCCGACATGGAAGTATATATGCACATTGTAATAAGCTGGGATAGGGAGCATTGCTCAGGGTAATTATAAAGTAGAAGGATACAGAGATGTGTTTTCTGTAGTTTAGTTAAACTGCTTTGTGCAGATACAGTTCACAATGCTTTATATTCAGTGGTTTCACCCGTCATATCCACTGACGTAACTGAAAAGCTGACATTTTCTTCCAAAGCATTTTTGTTTCAAGTGCAAGACTGCAGAAGCAGGTCAGAAGATATTTAGGGGAGCCAAGAGAAAACTGGGACTTTGTCACAAGAGAAACTAAACCCTTAAGTGACCCAAAGAGAGTTGACAATAATGACAAGCGAAGGTGGTAAATACTGTAATTTTGACACTTTTTGGAGATTTTTTAAAAAATAGTCCAGCATGAAAGGTGCTACATAAATGTAAGTTGTTGTTGCACTGGAGAGAGGGTTGAGTTTGGAAACAGTGGTGAATTCCGAAGTGGATAAGTCCCGCTGGTTAAAAAAAAAGGAAGCATATTAATAGGTACAGTAGTGAATTCTTGGCATGTTCTGCACTGGAAGAATTCAACGGCAGAAAAGTGAAGGGATCGGAGGGCTGGCACAGCAGAGGAATGCTGCGGCCACAGGCACAGAGGAGCCAATGTGCTGGAGGATCCCTGCATAATGCATGGCATGGAAGGATGAAAAGGAATTCATTTGTTAAAGAAGCAGCTTCAGGGGAGTCAACGGAAAGATGCAGAGATCTAGGACAATAGCAGGGAACAAAGGCACTCTGCAAACTGCTCGGAAACATCTAGGTCCTGTTTTGCTAGAATGTGGGCAGCTTCATTAAACTGTTAGTTAGCAACGGCTAGTTTGGTGGTGAGGGAAGGGTTCAACAAACTAAAGTGTTTGAAATCTTCAGTAGGTTCTGACAATTTGCCCTGGGAGCTGTAATGTATTTTTAAGACATTCGAGGAGATCAAGTTCTGACGTGTGTTAAGAGTCTCAATAAACGCCCGCTATTTGCTTTGAACTAGCGGAACTTTAAATGTTGACTTAATAAAAGCAGATTTAAGCTCCTTTTTTGGATCAGTCGTCTACGGTCCACCCTTCAGTCTACTACAATCCATCAATATCGCATTCTCATTCAGCACAACAGGAAATCCATTAATGTTTGCTCAAGCCACATAACTGCTTCAATTTAACACACGCCTGGGTTCTGGCGTATGTTGCCACCAAGACCAAATGGAAGGTGGAGAGGAGATTATTCCTTGCTTACGAGCACAAATACCTCACGCACATTTTATACCCATTAAAAAGACTTTTCAACCAGGCTTTTCAAACTGCAGCTAATCTTTCTTTCTTCACACATGATTATCTGGCACTGAACAAGGTAAGATGTGTCCCACGGATCGCACATATTGTCTATTTCCGGGAGCTGACTGTTGCTCATTGTTTACATAACACTGCATTTAACAGGTTGGAAGAGAAGGAATTTTTCAATATCTGATTGCATTCACCACCTGCACTGAAAGGATGGTCTCAGCTGTTCGATTCTGTCCCGGGTCACAGTCCATAACACACGCCAGAGATATCCTCACTCTTCACTGACCTGCCCCACAACCGCTTCCCATTCCCCACATTATATTGATCTCCTCAAAGCAATAGTAAATCTGTAAATACCAGGAGTATTATTTTTTCATCCATGAAGTTGGATCAGTGTGTCAGCCTGTCGCAGTGGTTAGCACTCTTGCCTCTGAGTCAGAAGGTTTTGAGTTCAAGCCCCATGTCAATCTAAGATGTTACTCCAATGCAATGCTGGGGGGTGGGGGTTACATTTTCTGAGGTCCCGTCCTTCGGATGAGACATGAAGCCAACATCCCGTCTGCCTGTCCAGGAGGACATTAAAGATCTCATGGCATTGGTTTTTTGCAAGAGAAGGGAATTTCTCCTGGTGTCCTGGCCAACAATTTCCCAGATAAAATTGGTCACTCACTTCATGCTGACAAAACATCCAATCACTACATTTTACAGTAAATCCTGTTAAATGCTTCGATACCTCCTCTTGACATAAAATATACAATATCAACTGAAAGGATTATTATTTCGCATTATTTGAATGAGAACTGCAGAGAGCGGTCAGTATAAAGGCCATTTCAAACCGCTACAAACCCTGGTTGACCTTGACCAAGTGAGCATTTGCCATCAGCGAGTCTAGAAAGGAACAAAGGATGGGGCAGACCATTCAACTCTTCAAGTCTTTCCCCCACAAGTCTTTCCGCCAGATCATTACAATGGGATTATGCGATCTGTCTTGATTCAATAAGTACTGGAGGAGTAAGGATTTTGTCTTGTCCTCAAACCCTTACTCCCTGGGCATTTGTTTCTCTCCCTTCCAACAACCTCGCCCCATCCCAAACAAAATAGAACTTGTCATTCACTTCACAGCTCTTTGCGGGACATTGCTGTGTGCAAATTGGCTGCAGCTTTTGCCCACACAACACAGCATAACTACTTTACTGTGTGTCCTGTAAAGTTGCTTTGGGACATTTCTGTCCTCCCCACTTATCTTCCTGTATCGACTGCAAAGATTGGTTAAAGTTGTCTGAGATTGTCTGAGGCTCTACCCTGCGTGAAGAGGGCTATATGACTGGAAGTTATTGTTGTTTATTTTGCCCAGAGCTGTCCCTCTGCCACGTTTGCTGACGTTCTGTTCCTTCTCCCCTCCCTCTCTCCAGGCAGTAGATTTATCCTGCTGTATGGGAGCCAGTTGGTTGCCAGAGATTGGCTGAATCCGGCCCAGGTGATGCTGTACCACCAACAGAACAGCAGTGGCCCCTGGGTGATGGAGCTGTGTGGGCGGCGTCTGATCAACCCTTGTGAACACGAGTGTGATATGGACACGGGTAAGGCTTACTTACCATCTACATGTACAACAACAACAGCAAAATTACATGTCCCAAAGCGCTGGATAGATAGAGTTACGGACCCGAGCTGGGGGTCAGGATCAGGGAGGGTTGAGGGCAGTTGGGGAAGCAGAGAGATCGAAAGCACGGTTGAAGAGGAGGGACTTGAGATGGGTCTTGAAGGTGGCAAGGGAGGGGATGAGGTGGAGGGACTGTGGGATGGAGATCCAGATGGTGGGGGCAGAGTGGCAGAAGGCCCCCTCTGCAATAGTGGGGAGAGCGAGGCGAGGGATGTGAAACAGGCTGAGCGGAGGGAGCGAGCAGGATGGTAGGGGGTTAGGAGGTCGCAGAGATAGGGGGAAACAAGACTGTGAAGGGCTTTGAAGGTGAGAACCAGGATCTTGAACTGCATCCTCTGTGTGAGGGGAAGCCAGTGGAGTTGGGCAAGGATGGGGGTGGGGGAGCTTAGTACGGGAGAGGACACGGGCTGCAAAGTTCTGGATGGTCTGCAGCCTTTGGAGGGAAGAGTTGGGGAGGCCGATAAGCAATGAATTTGCATAGTCGAGCCTCGATGTAATGAAAGCGTGTATGAGGGTTTCGCCGGCCTGCGGTGTGAGACAATGGCGGAACCGGGCAATGTTGCAGAGGTGGGGGGAAGGCAGAGCGGGTCATGGCGCAGATGTGGGGTAGAAAGGATAGTTGAGGGTCAAACAAGATCCCAAGATACCGGACTGGCTTAGTGAGGTGGAGTGTGCAACCGTGGATGGTGATGCTGTCAACGCGTGAGGTGAAGAGGCGCTGAAGGGAGCCAATCAGGAGAGCCTCGGTCTTGTTGACATTCAACTGAAAAAAGTTAGCTCTCATCCAGGACTTGATGTCCGACAGATATTCTGTCAGGACAGCAGTGGTCCTGGAATCAAGGGTGGAGTCAGAGAGGTTCAGTTGGGTGTCATCTGCATACATGTGGAAGTTGACTCCATGACTGCGGATGATGTCAGACACCTGCTGAGGTAACAACAAGATACCTTTCACTCTGACCTGGCATGTTGAGAGCCATTTCCACACAGGATTGAGTTGTGTGGATTCTCTCCCCCTGCCTCGCTTGGTTTCCTATACGAAAGCCAGCTGTGACTGCCCTCTTGTTCACAGTACCAGAGGTGGAGCTGAGTTGAATTGCGATGAGATGATTTGAGTTGATTTGAGATGAATTGCGTTGAAATGAGATGAATTGAGATAAATTAAGTTGAATTAAGATGAATTGATTTGTTTTGAATTGAGATGAGCTGAGTTGAGGCAGGGTGAAGGGCTTGCTTTTGCCCCCCCACCTCCATCGAATGAGGAAGGTTGTTCAAGCTCTTCTGATGGGAAGTGACAATGTTCCTGATAGAACCATAGAAATTTACAGCACAGAAGGCGGAAATTATACGTGTGGTGTGGGTCTGAACAGATGGCGTGCAGACATTTAGCCTCTCACATTGGCTGCTTTGTGCCTCCAGAGGTGAGAGGAGATGTCACAGTGGGGGGGGATTCAAACCTGCCTCCACATCTACTCTGTTTACGTAGCGGTTCCTAGAGTTCAGAAAGTAGTGAATTCCGAATCTCAGCCTTGATTTTCTGTGCGCTTCTTCTGAAGAAACGACAGTGAACTGGCCTCAGAGTTGAGAGTGAAATCTGACAACTTCCTCTTAAATGCAGCTTCATCATTTGAACTCACATAGTCTACCCCAGAGTGGTCCAACTGGCGGCCCACGGGCCGCATGCGGCCCAGTGGGTGATTTTATGGGGCCCGAGACCATTTCCAACATTTCAACTTCCGCTCCCTCCCTCCCTCCATGGCGAAGATCCTCCCATGACAGCAGCAGGAGCTGAGGAGGAGCGGGAATGTGTTGGTTCTGGAATATTGCTCATGCGGCCCGTGAACCTTTCCCAAATAAGGAACCCAGCCTGAAGCTGACACTCCAATGCAGTACTGAGGGTGTGTCTCATTGTCCTAGGTGCCGTCTTTTGGATAAAAATGAAATCCGGGGTCCTGTCTGCCTATTCTGGTGGACGTTAAAGATCCTCTGGCACTATTCGAAAACAGGAGGGAGTTTTTCCCGATGTCCTGGCCAACAATCCCAAATGAAATTGGTCACTCACTCCATGGCTGTTTGCAGGACATTGCTGTGTGCAAATTGGATGGCGAGTTCCCCTACAGTACTTTACAGTATATCCTGTGAAGTGCTTTGGGGTGTCTTTCCGACCTATGCTATGGTGCTATGCCAAATGCAAGGATTATTATTATTTTACCTGATTTAACCACAGCTTCTGGCAGTGAGATCCACAATCTCTTGCGTGAAGCAATTCCCTTTCAGATGCTCTGTGTTTTCGTAATGGAGATGTTGGGTGAGGCTGGAGTAGATGGGTTGGCTTTGCATTGCTCTGTGGAGGGAGTGGCCTCAATAGCTCCGTGTTTCCTATGTCTTTGCCATGTATTTTATTTAAAAACACACAAAAGCCAACCTCTCGGTATTTGGTCAAGCGCGGGGAAATGAACGTGAAATAATTCTCCTTGTAAACGGAGTGATTGAGGGGCCGGGGAGCTGGGAGTACACTTTCAATGACTGGGAGGAATGTGCAGTTAATAGACAAATGCATCTGCTGCCAGGAACCGACTTTTCCCTAATCCTATTACGATCTGTACAGATCCCTTTATGAGAGTTTAGGACATTTGTCTTGCAAAGTATTAAAGCAACAGTGTGATACAGGCAACTGATTAGATTAGAAAAATGCTGAGTTTTGTGTGTGTGTGTTTGTGTGCACGTGTATCACTGTGTGAGCATGTGCATATGTATGAGTGTGTGTGAAATTGTTAGTGTGAGTTTGAGTGCAAGTCTGTGTGCGAGTGTCCGAGCTTGTGTGGGGGTGTGGTCAGTCGGTGCTGTGTGTGTTGTCAGTGGATGCTTTGTGTGTGCTCAGTGGATGCTCTGTGTGTGTGGTGAGTGGGTGCTGTGTGTGTGGTCAGTGGGTGCTGTGTGCGTGTGGCCAGTGGGTGCTGTGTGTATGGCCAGTTAGTGTTGTGTGTGGCTAGTGGGTGCTGTGTGTGTGGTCAGTGGGTGCTGTGTGTGTGGTTAGTGGGTGCTGTGTGTGTGGTCAGTGGGTGCTATGTGTGTGGTCAGTTAGTGTTGTGTGTGGCCAGTGGGTGCTGGGTGTGTGGCCAGTGGGTGCTGTGTGTGTGGTTAGTGGGTGCTGTGTGTGTGGTCAGTGGGTGCTATGTGTGTGGTCAGTTAGTGTTGTGTGTGGCCAGTGGGTGCTGGGTGTGTGGCCAGTGGGTGCTGGGTGTGTGGCCAGTGGGTGCTGTGTGTGTGGTCAGTGGGTGCTGGGTGTGTGGCCAGTGGGTGCTGTGTGTGTGGTCAGTTAGTGTTGTGTGTGGTCAGACAGCGGACACTGGCCAGATCTCCTGTACAGGTGACTGTACAGCTCCACTGCCTCTCCCAGCTCCTTCACAGGCCACCCCACTTTGATGTCTTCCTCTCAAACCAGACAGCAACATCTGTCCTGGCCAAGTGTCCCCCACTCGCCCCCTTCCCCCCCTTCTTCTCCGCCCCGCAGATGTACAGGAATTGATTAGAAAAACAAATGTTCAGCCCAACCAATGTGGAAATACGAAGAAAAACACAGAATGCAGCTCTGAATGGAATATTGAAACCTTCCCCCTGTGGTGTTCCTGTGATTTAATGAGTGTTATTCACTGATTTAGTTGTGCCATTGATCCGTGTGTTCCTCAGGTTTTACACGATGTTCCTCACTGAGCCGTGCACTTCAATTTAGGCTGCCACCATGGCTTCCCCTGCTCAGCTCATCACTGCAAATGTTTACTCTGTATTTGCCCACAGTTTGAATCCATCTCTGAAGCGAAGAGTAACTGAGGCCAGAACACTGTCTGGAAAGCCCCACGTCCAGACTTAGGATTCATACAGTCTAGGCTAAATCTTCAGAACCGTGCCGGGGGAATGCTGCATTGTTGGAAGAGACGTCTTTCACATCTAACAGCATCTACCGTGTTTAAATAACTCAAGAAGTTTACTGCATCCATAAATAATAATCCTTGCATTTGAATATACCACCTTATCACGTCATCGTGATATCTCAAGGTGCTTCACAGGATATACTGTAAAGTGGATTGACTGTGTATTTTGTGGGCAAAACGCAGCAGCCAGTTGGACACAGCAATGTCACACAAAGAGCCATGGAGTGAGTGACCAATTTTATTTGGGGGATTGTTTGCCAGGACACTGGGAGAGAGAAACTCCCTTCTCTTTTCAAATAGTGTCCAGGGATCTTTAACATCCACCTGAGCAGACAGACGGACCTTGGTTTAACGTCTCTTCTGAAGAATGGCACCTCCGACAATGCCACACCCCCCCAGCGCTACATTGAAGTGTCAGTTTAGACGAAGTGATTCCAAGTCCTGACAAGGGGCATGAATCCACGTTGCTCTCAGCTAAATCAACTCAGCCACTCTCCATTAATGCTTCTTGCTGCTCCTGACAAAGGAAATGAGCTGTCAATTTGCAGAGCGTTTTTTTTAATTTAAACTGGATTCAAATGAAAACGTTGTTTTCATTTTAAAAGGAAAGGGTTTTTAATTTTAATGAACATTCAGTGGATAAACAGTTGTAATATAATTATTGTTCCCTTTTCCGTGTGGGATGGAAGTACAGTAACTACCTAACTGATAGTTCGGCCGCTTGGCTCTGAGCTTCGCAGGTCTGTGGTCAGATTTATCTCAATAGCTGGGATTGTTCCGCTCGTTTCCGCCATCTGCAAGTCAATGAGAAATGTTCTTGCTCCCACTGGGTGCCTTGGTGAGTGATAGTTACAGTCATGAGATGCGATTGTCATGCAGTAAGCCTTGCAATAAGCTAGCACTTCACTGGTCCAGTCTGTGCCTGTTGTTTGCTTTCTCAATCTCATTTGAAAGCTCCTTTAGGCCCATCCGGCTTTACGGACCATCAAAA